TTAATATTTGATAAAGGAGCCATGGACATACAATGGCAAAATGACAGTCTCTTCAACAGATGGTGCTGGCAAAACTGGACAGCTACATGTAGGAGAATGAAACTGGACCATTGTCTAACCCCATATACAAAGGTAAACTCAAAATGGATCAAAGACCTGAATGTAAGTCACGAAACCATTAAACTCTTGGAAAAAAACATAGGCAAAAACCTCTTAGACATAAACATGAGTGATCTCTTCTTGAACATATCTCCCCGGGCAAGGAAAACAACAGCAAAAATGAGCAAGTGGGACTACATTAAGCTGAAAAGCTTCTGTACAGCGAAAGACACCATCAATAGAACAAAAAGGAACCCTACAGTATGGGAGAATATATTTGAAAATGACAGATCTGATAAAGGCTTGACGTCCAGAATATATAAAGAGCTCACACGCCTCAACAAACAAAAAACAAATAACCCAATTAAAAAATGGGCAGAGGAACTGAACAGACAGTTCTCCAAAAAAGAAATACAGATGGCCAAGAGACACATGAAAAGATGCTCCACATCGCTAATTATCAGAGAAATGCAAATTAAAACTACAATGAGGTATCACCTCACACCAGTAAGGATAGCTGCCATCCAAAAGACAAACAACAACAAATGTTGGCGAGGCTGTGGAGAAAGGGGAACCCTCCTACACTGCTGGTGGGAATGTAAATTAGTTCAACCATTGTGGAAAGCAGTATGGAGGTGCATCAAAATGCTCAAAACAGACCTACCATTTGACCCAGGAATTCCACTCCTAGGAATTTACCCTAAGAACGCAGCAATCAAGTTTGAGAAAGACAGATGCACTCCTATGTTTATCGCAGCACTATTTACAATAGCCAAGAATTGGAAGCAACCTAAATGTCCATCGGTAGATGAATGGATAAAGAAGATGTGGTACATATACACAATGGAATACTACTCAGCCATAAGAAGTGGAAAAATCCAACCATTTGCAGCAACATGGATGGAGCTGGAGAGTATTATGCTCAGTGAAATAAGCCAAGCGGAGAAAGAGAAATACCAAATGATTTCACTCATCTGAGGAGTATAGGAACAAAGGAAAAACTGAAGGAACAAAACAGCAGCAGAATTACAGAACCCAAAAATGGACTAACAGGTACCAAAGGGAAAGGAACTGGGGAGGATGGGTGGGCAGGGAGGGATAAGGGGGGGGAAGAAGAAGGGGGGTATTAAGATTAGCATGCATGGGGGGGAGGGAGAAAGGGGAGGGTGGGCTGCACAACACAGAGAGGACAAGTAGTGACTCTACAACATTTTGCTAAGCTGATGGACAGTAACCGTAATGTGGTTGTTAGGGGGGACCTGATATAGGGGAGAGCATAGTAAACATAGTATTCTTCAGGTAAGTGTAGATTAAAAATTTAAAAAAAAAAAAGAAAGAAAGAAAGAAAAGGGGGATTACTCCTTAACAGGATAAAACTATTGGTAAATCAAAGATCAACGCATGCTTTAAATATCCTTAATGTTGATCACTTAAAGGGTGTCAGATGATCAGCTATGGAGGTACTCTTTTCTGATAATATTCCTTTCTCTTATTAAAAAAAAAAAAAAAAAGCAGTTACTGTGTGCTGACCTCCAATGAGTTCTGCACAGTGGTATAGAGGGCATGTCAAAGTGTGGGCAAAGGGTCTGTTTGTTTCTACGCAGAAGATCAAGGCCTAGCTTGGATACCCAGAAAATGAACTAAGATACGATATGAGGAGGAGCTTCCGGCATCAGCACTCTCTGGAGGACTCGTGCCGGGGGATGATCATCAAAAAGCCTCCACAGGGATCCGGACGATGCTGCGGTTGTGGCTGCATCCAGCCCACCGTCTCCTGGACTTGCCATAAGAAGGAGGAGGGAGATGTCTAGGCTGGCATGTGCATACAGTGAGACAACGAATTTGACTGGATCTGTACTGTTGGAACTCAACCAGGAGTTGGGAGGGGTGCAAGTTGTAGCACCCCAAAATCTCATGACTATAGACTATCTATGGTTAAAAGAACATATGGGATGTGAACAGATCCCAGAAATGGGCTGCTTTAATTTGTCTGATGGTTCAAGTACAGTTGGAAAATATCCATCATATCATAGATAAATTTTCACAAATGCCTAGGGTGCCTAAATGGTTTTCTTGGCTTCACTGGAGATGGCTGGTAATTATAGATTTGCTTTGTTTATGTCACCGTATTCCTATTATGTTAATATGTGTGTGCAAATTAGTTAGTAGTTTAAAACCTATACATACTTAAGGTACTATACAAGAAGATATGTCAAAGAAATAATCAATCCTCCCAAGTTTCCTTCATATGCTACATCTATAGCTTTTCTTCTTCCTTCCTAATTACAACCCTTAAATAGAATTCGTGCCTCATATCGAATTTACCGAGTATCATAATTCCTCCAGGTGGTAAAGATACCTCGAGACAAGTGCTGGGCATAGAAGCCACAGGGCATAAATCTGCAAAGAAGTAAAAAGCTAACCTTTGCAAACAATATGGCTTCTCTCTCACTTACCAACTTTACATTTCCCTGTATGGCCCCGGAAGATGACTGGTTAGCCAGAGACGGGTAAGATTCCTCAAGGGAGGAACAACCTAAGACAGGCACAGTCGCAGGGGGGCCATCAGGTGAGAATTTGGGGATCAACAGAGGTGAGGCTCAGAACCTCACCCCCCCTGCTTTGAGAGAAATCTTCTGCATCCGTGGATGTCTTGCTGCCCTTGTCTAGCCTGGATTAATACTTAGTCCATAGGCACACACCTGATCATCTGATCATCTACATTTGCCTTCTTACAGCACTAAACTATGTTTTCTACCTTTATCTTGCATCTACCTACCACTTCAGCATTTTATTAAAAATAAAAATAATAATAATAATAGGAGAAATGTGGGATCAACATATAAATCAAGTACAAAAATCAAACGAATATTCATATTTGACCTGATTGTTTATAGGTCATAATGCATGATCAAAACCGAAAGTTTCTGTGATGAATGCCCTTGTACTGTTCACCATGTAAGAATTTATTCACTATGTAAGAATTCGTTCACCATGTAAGAACTTGTTCGTTATGCTTCAGAAGATTGGAGACTGACGAGAATTAGACTTGAGATGGATTAATGATTGTACATTGAGCATTGACCCCCCCTATACAGAATTTTATTGTTGTTAACAACCATTTGATCAATAAATATGAGAGATGCCCTCTCAAAAAAAAGAACCTGGCTGTTTGGAGAAATGGCTGATTTGAGGTTTGGCATAATAAATATACAAGATGACCCTGGAACATCTGGTCAACCACGGAACAATGAGGCTTTCAAAAACTGTTAGGATTCTATTAAAAGAGACTCAGAAGCTGACTTGCATTAGTTCCTCTGTCCAAAAATGGTACAATTTGGGGGATGGGATAATAACTTAGGGGATAGAAATAAATCAACCTTGTTTAAACTCATGAGTTTGTAATGATGTTGATAACAATAATGGTAGTAGGATTCATTTTTCATCTTCAGAGGATATTAGAAAACCAGCACTTTTTTTTTGAGTACTGGTAAATAAAAGTAAAGAATTAGGCATTTATCCTGCCTTTGTTAACAGTTTTGTACTACATGGTAGCTAAATAATTGACAAAGGTAATTTCTTTTTATAGAGGTATTCCAATTTATAAAGGAAAAGGAAATTAAAATGTCATCATCTTGAAGTCCCTAATAAACTGATGGATCTAGAAATAATCAGCAATAACTGTTAACATGCCAAGAAGAGAGACAGCCAAACAGTTGGTGCCTATTTGAGGAACTCTTATTCTACCACAAACCATCCTGAAACTGATCAAGGCTTTAGACGTGACTACCAATCTACTGAAAACACAGGGAACAAGTGGACAGATTAAACCACCCCATGTAAATACAGTCTGCAAAATCCAGACTATTGGAAACTCTAAGGGACAAATGCCTAGTTTCTTTAACAAAAACATTAACAGTAAAACAACAACAAAATTCAAGGATAAACAAGAGATGGATTGGAGGAAAACATGTAGATCAAAAGAGACATGTCAACTATTCACAGTGTCTGGGCCTTGTTCAGATCTTGATTCAAAGCACTATCAAACAATTAACAATCTTAAAAAACAGTAAGACAAAGAAATAGGTACATGACTGCATATTTGACGTTAAGTAATCATCGCTATTGATATTAAATGTGATAGGGGTATTATGGTTATACTAAATATATATATATATTAGAAATACTGAGATACATACAGATAAAATGATTGGATGTTTTGAATTTCAAGAGAGGGGAGATATAAATGAAACAAGATTGGCCATGAACTGGAAATGGTTAAGGGTGGATATCAGTTCTTAATGCTGTTACGTGTGTGCTTAAGATTTTTCATAATAAAATTTACCATCAGCTTAATATAAAATACTTAATATAATACTTAATATAGAAAATACTTGAAGCTGCATCCTTACCTTGCACACTGATTTTCCTTCCAGTTTGTTATTTTGCTCATAGGTACAGTTATAGGAGGATATTTGGACTGACTGGGCCCTACCCTTCAGAATTAAGAAACTGACTAGTACAGTGGCCAGAATCTGCCAGGCGGTCACCCGTGACCATGTGGATCTGTGCCAGGTGTCACAGCCTCTCAGTTCTGCATACAGGTCCGCTCTGCTTTACACTAGAGTCTTAAAGATCTCATTGGCTGGTAAAGCAGCATAGTCGCATTTGGGACAGATCCAAGAATCTGAGTCACTATCAGCCATGTCACTTAAAGACACCTGTGAGAACAGCTTGGGAAATCAAGTAGCTCACCTGGCTCTACTTGCACTCCCTCCAGGTCATATGAGAGGCACAGGAGAGTAATGCAGTTCTCTGTTACTGCTAGTGTCATACTTGATATTAATCAGGAGCCAAGCCCCATCATTTTGTCCCCTTTTACAAGTATAAAGCCTTGGTACCTTGTTTACATTTTCCAGAGAAACCAGACTTGTAACCCACAGGTGTTTAAGTTTGGTGGCATCTGAAGTGATGGGAAGTGTTTCTTGCAGCTTTAAATTCTCTTTCCAGATTCCTAATAAGCCTTCCTTACTGATGGTCAGATAACGACTTGAATTTTTTAAGAAAATTACTTTTTGAATGGTGTCCTTGTGTTTCACTGGGAGGAACTCAAGGTCTTTCCACTGGGGAACCACAGTCGCCTTCTCTTGTTCATCTTTCTCATAAAGAATTAGCAGCATAAATGAAGTCAGCTTGTCCCAGTTAATGAAGCCATCTTGGGCCACATCCACTTTGTCAAAGAGTTCCCCATATTCTTCCTCTGTGCCCCAGCCAACAATCTCTGCCATCCTCTGCATAAACTCTTCTCTGGACATACAAATGGTCTGACTTGGCTCACGGGGCTAGAAACAGGAATCAAAACAAGACAACAGTGACAGCATCGTAAGTGCCAGAACATTGTGCTACCCACACATGGAATCTAATCAGCAATTCTTTCAAGAGGCAAATAAAAAAATGTCTTTTACTTTAAGCAGTACTGTACTTAAATGAATTTGAACTAGGGAGCAAATAATTTACAGGGCTACAAGCTGATGTCCTCAATCACAAATGTTCCTGTAACTGGAAGAGGGGGACAGGAGAGTCCGAGATTTCATATGATGACATAAGCAGAAGTTGGAGTGATGCAGGGCTGTGAAACAAATAATGCAGGCAGCTTCTAGAATCTGGAAAAGATTTCCCCCTAGAGCCTCCAGAAAGAAGGCAATCCTGACAGCACCTTGATTTTAGCCGTATAAAACCCATTTTGGACTTCTGACCTCCAAAACTGTAAAAAAATAAACTTGTTTGTTTTAAACTACTAAGTTTGTGGTAACTTGTTAAAGCATCAATAAGAAACTAATACAGTGGTTTACAGAAAATGAATGAATCCCTGAAGAGAATTTAGTGCAGCTAGTAAAATTATACCACAGCAGAACTTTAATCCAAGGGCAAGAAATCCACTTCTGCAAATACACCATTACAAAGAACAGTGAAACCATATATAGTTGGTTTTTGTTATTCTTGGTAGTTATGTCCTATAAAATCTCTTCAAACATTAAATCAGCAGATATTGAGCCATTGTTCCCAGAGGAAATACAGGGTTAGGTTTCTGTGAGTGTCAGGTCACAATAATTTTGTAAACTGATGAATTCATAATTTTATTTTATGTATGTTTCTACTGAAAGATACTTCATTTAATACATATTGCTAATTCATTAACATTGAATTCATGGCCAATAGCACTGTTAATGACCTCCTTGTATATAGGAACAATAAAAGAACTTTACCACTACATTGGGAGTCATTTTAAGCAATGAATTCACCAAAAAGAAAACACAAAATGCAAACAATGTTGGCACAAAGTAGACTACAAATAGTATGAAAGCTATAATAATAAAGCAGAATGTCACCTTGGTTGATGTAGACCTGGAATACACACATTGAATGACTGAAAATTTTTGCTACTCTGTACGTGTCTGTGAATGACCAAGAAAAGTGCCTTCAGTATTGATTTGGGGGTTCCAAATAAATTTTAGCAAGTAGGCAAGTTCACAAATACAGAATCTGTGAATAATGAGAATCATCTGTATTTTGAAAAAGTATACAGCTTAATACTGATAGGCTGTTTAGTCTGATGAGATTCATGATGAGAGAATCTATTTTTCCTACTACCTCAGGCCAATGAGTCAAGATTGACAGTAAACACTAGAAGGCAGCATATTGTAGAGAAGATTAAACAATTATAGTTTTTTAATCCTGGTTCCACCAGTAATTGTAGAAAATATTGGAAAGTTACTTCACTGCTAAGCCTTAATTTCCCCATCTGTAAAATGGATATAGCAATATCAGTCACAAGAAAATTGTTATGAAGATTAACTGTTGTATCAATAGATATAGAAAAAGTAATTGACAAAATGCAACACCCTTCACAATAAAAACTCTCAGTAAACTAAGAATAAAAGGAAATTTACTCCAATTGATAAAGAATATATCTACCAAAAAATGTACAGCTAACATCATATTTAATGATGAGAAACTTGAAATTTTCATACTAAGATCATGTACAAAACAAAGATGTTCCCTTTCACTATTGCTTTGTAATGTCATACTGGAATCTCTACCTAATGCAATAAGGTAAGAAAAGGAAATAAAAGGCATAAAGATTGGGAAGGAAGAAATAAAACTGTCTTTGTACATAGATGACATGAACACAATACCATTTATATTAGCAGCCACAAAATTGAAATACATCTAAATATTACAAAATATGTATATGAGCTATATGAGGAAAACTATAAAACTCCATTCAACAAAATCAAGAACTAATTAAATGGAAAAATATTCCATGTTCATAGATAAGAAAACAATACTGCCAATACCTCAGTTTCCCAAGATAATCTTTAGATTCCATGCAATACCAATCAAAATCCCAATAAGTTATTTTGTGGATGTTGACACACTGATTCTAAAGTCTATATGAAGAGGCTAAAGACCAGATGAGGAAACACAATATTGATGAACGAGTTCGAAGACTGACTCTACCCAACTTCAAAACTTATAAAGCTATAGTAACCAAGACAATGTGGTATTGGTAAAAGCATACACAAAGAGACCAATGGAATAGAAAAGAGACCCCAGAAATAGACTAATCTTTCACAAAAGACCAAAGGTGATGCAATAGAGAAAAGATAATATTTTCAAAATTTACTCATAAATGGAATAAATAAAAACCCAAAATAACTGAAAAACCACATTGTAAAAAATGAATCTAGGTACAGACATTACACTCTTCACAAAAATTAGCTCAAATGGATCACAGTCTTAAATATAAACCATAAAACCATAAAACCCCTAGACCATAACATAGAAACAAACCTAGATGACCTTGAGTTTGGTGAGGACTCTTCAGATGCAACACCAAAGTCACAATACATGAAAGAATTCATTAAATTTGGACTTCCTTAAAATTTTAAAAGCTCTGTGAAATACAATGAGAGAGTGAGAAAAAAAAGCTAGAAGAGACTAGGAGAAAATATTTTCAAAAGACACATCTGATAAAGAACTTATCCAAAATATACAAAGAAGTCCTAAAATTAAACAATAGAAAATAAACAATCCAATAAAAAAATGCACCAAAGACCTTAAAAGATACCTCACCAAAGAAGATACACAGATGGCAAATAAGCCTATGAAAAGATGCTCCATATCATATGTCATCAGGGAAATGCAAATTAAAACAAGAATGAGAATACACACTTATTAGAATGGTCAAAATCTGGAACACTGACAACAGCAAATGCCGACAAGGCTGTAGAGTAACAGGAACTCTCATACTTTGTTGATGGGAATGTAAAATCATGCAACTACTTTGGGAACAGTTTGGTGGTTTCTTATAAAACTAAACAAATATACTCTTACCATATGTAGATCCAGCAATCATACTCCTCAGTATCCTCTCAGAAGCATTGAAAATTTATGTGCACACAAAGCCTGCACATGGATGGAAGTTTATAGCAGCTTTATTTATAGCTGCCAATTCTTAGGAGCAACCAAGATGTCCTTCAGTAAGAGAATGGATGAATAAACTGTGGTACATTCAGAGAATCGAATATTATTCATTGCTAAAAAGAAATAAGCTATTAAGCCATAAAAATTCCTGGAGGAATCTTAAGTGCATATTACTAAGTGAAAAACAGCCAACCTGAAAATGTTACATATTGTATGATTCCAACTACATGACACTCTGGAAAAGGCAAAACTATGCAGAGAATAAAAAGATCAGCAGTTGCCAGGAATTAGAGGAATTGGTGGAAAGGATGAATAGGCCAAGAGCACAGATTTTCAGGGAGGTGAAACTACTCCGTATGATGATGATGGATATATGTCATTACACATTTGTGCAAACCCATAGAATGTAGAGCGCCAAGAACGAACCCTAATGTAAACTGTGGACTTTGGGTGATAATGATGTGTCAATGTAGATCCATCAACTGTAACAAATGTTAAGGCTCCAGTGGGAGCTATTGATAATAGGGAGCCTATGCATGTTTCAGGGTAAGAGGCATATGAGTAATCTCTATCACTCCTTTTATTTTGTTGTGAACCCAGAACTGCTTTAAAAATGTAAATTCTTAATTTTTTAAAAAAAGGTTGACACATCATGTGTGCAAGAACTAAGTAATCAAGTGTTTAATAGGTTAGTCTAGGCTTTTAATTAATTAAATTAACTTTCTGAGAAATTATTGGTACCTAGCCCTTTGAATTTCTCAGAAGTCCATTATTCTTATCTCAGTGAAATTATTTTCAGTCCAAAAAGTTTAGATGGATGGAAATTTATCAGTGACCCAGATTTTAAGTGTAGAGAAAAAAATATCCTAAAAACACTCCATCTGAGCCAAAACTGAAAAATGTTTATGAAAGCTAAGTCAATGTTGATCTTTTACTTTAAACTATTCCATAATGACATCAATCAAACTCTTATATCTATGTTATTATCTCATTAATATAAAAACATAAGACATTTTAAAGGTGAATCTCAGGCAATTTTCTGCCTATGAGCTGGTAATTTATTTTTACTTCTAAGAAAAAGGGACTCTTCTAGCTGATAAATACCAAAAGAATTTCTATTTTATAGTCTAAAATACGGAATTGCAAACAGACCATAAACAAACAAACAAATGTCTTCCCCAAAATAACATACACAATCAACTTCATAATTTTCTATGCACTGATAATGCCAATATGTACCAGGAGAAGATCTGAGGAATACTCCCAATTTATGAAATTTGACAGAAAAATAAATTGCATGATATACCTGACAGTTCTGTTACTATTAACTCATCAGCTTTTTTTTTTTGAAGTTTGAAAATAAAGCCATGTCTTTGGCTAAGAAGTTAGGAATTTGTTTTTACACAAATCCCAGCTTGTTTCAAGAAGCATTATGCCTTAATTATATGTGTTTTGTGTTTATTAACTCTATTATATGCCAACTTTAATAAATCAAATATGCAATTAAAGTTCTGTGACCTTATATAAGCTTAAAAGCACAAATACACTTTTATCACCCAATTAATTCTTATTTTACCAGTGGCTCTCACTTATGTTCGGGGACTACAGTTTAGTCATTTTTTCCCATTATTTTATACATACCACCCACTGTGGAAGGGAGATTGTGTAGTTGTACAGTTAGAGCTCCAAACCTCAGGCTCAGTTCTTGCACCCTCTAAATAGGTAAAATAACTAACTCTTAGGGCTGTTACTAGAATTAGTTGAAAACTTTATGTATACCTGATGGGATAATTTAATGTGATTATAGCACATTTATGCTTAATAAATGTTAACTCCCTGCTGAAAGGTTTAAAAA